TCGGGCGGAGCCAGTCGAGGTGGTCAACGAAGAACTCTGGCCGCTGCCAGAATCCGTCCAGCTCGATGACCGCGCATGGACTGGGGGTCGGCGTGGTCAGGATCGCTTCCGCCCACAGGTGCGCCCAGTTCATGCGCTTGTGAGGCTTCTGCGCGGCCAGAATCTGCACTGTGCCCTTGAGCTCGCCCACGGGCGTCTGGTCGGACAGGTTCCCGAGGCCGTAGTCGAGCGTGAGGGGGGAGTCGTTGTCCCACATGTGGCACTTGTTGGGCTGCGTGTTCAGCCACTCGAGATCCTCGCTCGACCAGATGAGCTCGCCGAGGCTGGCGAGCTGCGGGGTCGAGCTGGGCGTGTACCTGGCATCCGCACGGCCCGCGACCCGCGCGCCCGCCTCCTTCGCGATGGACAGCATCGCCGCCCACTGGAAGAGGCGATTGCCGAGGCGCCCCCTGTTCGAGTGGGGGATATCGACTACATGTTGTTTTACCCCGAAATGGATTGCCTCGTCGATCGAAACAACAAAGAGACGTCACCTTTCTGGGATTCAACGACAAAGCAACCCTGGGGTAGATCAATTCTGTAGTCGATCCCCCCACTCGACCTGTTCAGCATGGTGACGAGCGCTGGCTTGGGCATCTCCTCGTGGGCTGGCCAGGAAAGCGACGTCACCGTCGCCGCAGCCTCGTCCGCCTCCCTGTCGGCGAAGAGGCCGCCCGTGGCCCGGGACTTCTTGTGGCTCTCCTTCTGGTGGGCGTTCCAGTCCGACCAGCTGGCGTATCCCCTCTGGCGCAGCTTCTGCGCCCAGGGGCCCAAGGCCGCGTCCTGGACGTGGCAGCGCGCACGGGGAGGCGGCGCGAGGAGAAGGCACTCGAACACGCCCGGAGGGCCTGCAGGAAGGCGGGGGTGCCTCCCACCAAGGGCACGGGGGGCGTGACCTTCTCAGGAGCCCCCCCCGCCTTCCTGGAAGCCCTCTGGGCGTCTGATCAGAGGGGCCACCCCCCCTCGCGCGAAGCCGTGGTGCGCGCCGCCCAGCCTCGGGGTCATCACCTCGGCCCCCAGCGGCCGTCCAGGACGAGGCGGCCGCCCCCAGCACGCTCGCGTCGAGGCGCAGCGGCTGGAGAGCGCCCCGAGGCCGGAGAAGGCTGCGGGAGCCTATGAAAGCGTCCTCGGACCTCCCTCGGAAAAAATGTTATATATATATATATATATATATATATACAGATATCTAGATATATATGTATATATACACAAGACTGCAGTGACGCTTCGCGCCATGCACCTTGGTCCTTGAAGTTTGGAATGCAGGCGGAATGGCAGGAAGGTCAAGCCGACAATTTAGCGATAATTCCTGGTTGCCTTTTCTGGCATCGCCGCTATAATGATGTTATTCGTTATCCTTCCTCCATGCTTATTGTTTTTATTTCGCCATCACCTGCGCATTTTCTCCATCCTCCTCAGCTCTTTTTTGCGGAGGCTCCTCCTTGGAGAGCCTCTAGGGGCCTCACAAAAGTTGTTTCGGGCTTTCTTAAGACCTTCTGGAGGCCTCCTGGGCGTATTCTGGGGGCCTCCGGGGGCTTCCTCGGGCCACCCTGCCTCCAACCGCCGTCTCCCTGAACGACCGAATCACGATTTGGAATTCTTCGGAGGGTGTCTTTGGACCATCTTGGGCCGCCATGGGGCTCTCTGAGGGCCATCTTGGACCCGTGTTGTGCCGTTTTGGGGCTCTCTTGGATTGCCTGGAAGCACTTTCGGATGGTTGTGGGGCGATTTGGGAGCCTCCCAGGCGGCTTCGGACGCCCGGAAGACCGCCGTCTTGGAGCGTCGGGAAGCCGAAAAGAGGAGAACCCCAAAATTCACCAAAAAAACAACAGAAAATCAATGATTTGTACCTCGGGGGGCCTTCTTGGGAGTGCTCTTGGAGGCCTCTTTGGGGCCGTCCTGGAGGCCTCTTGGGCCATCTTGAGGTCACGTCGGTCACTTTTGGAGCGCTCTTGTGCTGTCTTGGGGGGCTCTGGGACGTCTCCGATGACCTAAGTGTGGTGGGAAGGCTTGGCAAAAAGCCTTGCGAGGCCCAATGGCCGCTTCGAGGCCCGTCCGGAGGGCCCCAAAGCCCCAGGTCCCGGGAGTCCGGTTTTGGGGGGGGGATGGGTTTTCCCCCTGCCCGGGCTTCTAAAAATATAAGAAGAGGAGAATATATATATAGAGAGAGAGAGAGAGAGAAAGAGATAAGGGATGGGGTCACAAAAAAAACTCAGAGCTCGGCGCAAAATTTCTTGGGTCGGCGCAGGACACCCCTCCCTGGCACGCGGAGCGCGCCCAGGGCGGCGCCGGAGGCGCCGCCAGGCGGGGTCCAGCGCCTGTCCCAGGAAATCTGTGCGGGACTCCAAATGTAAATTGCCATACCGTGTCGTTCTTCTTCGGACCTGCAGGCCGACACCAGAAGACGGCCCCGAGAGCCAGAGCCCCTTACGAATCCAGAGTGGCCCTGCTCTGAGCATCTTGACTGACCCAAGAACGTCCTCCCCCCAGACATCCGGCTGCTCGAATTTTTTCGATGCGTGGGCCCCAGAAGTCTGGACCACTTCCCTGGGGCGGACTTTTCGTCCTGAGTCGATTCTTGACGCTTCCGAGGCCCGGCGAGGGCCCCCAGAGGTCGAAACAGGCCAAAAACTTCTGCTCAAATTTTTTGGTGGAGCGTCGGATCTCTGGGCTCAAACCTCGAGGCTGAATCCCCGACCCCTCGCTGCGAGGGGGCCGCGTCCTGCGGCCCCTCCTCCTGGGCGTCCTCTGACCCCCCGCCCAGCGCGCGGGCGGGCTCGTCGCTGGGTGCCCTCGCAGAGGGGGGAGGGAGAGAGGGAGGGAGGGAGGGAGGGAGGGAGGGAGGGAGGGAGGGAGGGAGGGAGGGAGGGAGGGAGAGGAAGAAGACGAGGGAGGAGGAAGAGGAGGAAGGGACGAGGAAGAGGGGGAAGGAGGAGGAGGAGGAGGAGGAGCAGCAGCAGCAGGAAGAAGAAGAAGAGGAGAGGAGGAAAAGAGGATGCGGAGGCCGAGGGTCCCCAAGACAGCCCCATCCGCAATCACCGAAGAAGTCCCTAACAGGAGATGACGGGGGAGGAGGGGGGGGATTCTAGGACTCTGCGTCGGCCTCGCGCGCGCCCCTCGCGCGCGCCCCTAAGGGAGGAGGGGGGGAGGGAAGGAAGGGAGGAAGGCGGAGGAAGAGGAGGAGGAGCAGGAGGAGGAGAGAGTGAGAGAAAAGGATGAGGAGGAAGAGGAGCGAGAGGGAGGGAGGAGGAGACGCAGGAGGCACCTGCACACCACCCCCGTCCCCGGCCAGGGCCATCCTCGACCCCAGCACGGCATGTGCACCCCCTCGTCCTCCTGATCCTCCTCCTCCTCCTCCTCCTCCTCCCTCCTCCTCCTCCTCCTCCCTCCTCCTCCTCCTCCTCCTCCTCCCTCTCCCTCCTCCCCTCCTCCCCCTCCTCCTCCTCCTCCTCTCCTCCTCCTCCCTCCTCCTCCTCCCCTCCTCCTCCTCCTACCTCCTCCTCCTCCTCCTCCTCCTCCTCCTCCTTCCTCCTCCCCCTCCTCCCCCTCCTCCTCCTCCCTCCTCCTCCTCCTCCCCTCCTCCTCCTCCTCCTCCTCCTCCTCCTCCTCCCGGGCCGCTGACGGCCCTGGGCCAGGCACGGGTGGTGGTGCACAGTGCGCCCCCCGCGGAGAGCAGCGACGAGGCCGCCGCAGCGAGGACTGCACCAGGCCCACGGCGTCATCGAGCAGGAGGCCCTCGCACGCGAGCGCCAGCAGCGCGCCAAGGAGCGCGCGCGGCGCCAGGGCGGGCGGCCACGGCGCCGCCATCCGCCTCCCGCCTGTGCATTACCCGCCACTGCGCTGCGCAGCGGGCGGCGCGTGGCCTGGAAGCGCTTCCGGGACCCTCCCGAGGACCCTCCGCGCGTGCCGCGCGGGCAGAAGTGCTCGGCGTCGGCGCCCTGCTCGCAGAGGCGAGAGCGGGGAGCACAAGGGTCCGGGGCGCCCTCTGGGGCCCCAGAGGTGGCCAAGGGCGGCGCGCTCTCCCAGAGCACCGACCGCAGCACCGCTGCTCCTGAGCAGGGTCACATCGGGCCAGCGCACGTCTTGAGGATCCTTGCCCACCGAGGCGCTTCACTACGACGCAGGCTGCGTGATGAGGGCCCGCGCAGGCCGCGCACCATCGCTGGAGCGGAACAGGGTAATGCGAGGCGGGGATTTATCCACATCCACAGCCTGGGAACCGACGTCCTGGTGCCCCAGCGGGGGCGGTGGATATGGATGCATTTCGGCCCCCGGGAGCCCGAATATGTCCATATCCACCGCCTGCCGAGGCTCCGAAAACTGACCCTCCAGGCGGTGGATATGATAAATTCCCGCCTCGGAGGCAAGGAACAAGGCCAACACACGGCGGGCTAACCCACGTCCTGAGGATCACCGACCCCTGCGGGGGAGGCCCCCGCAGGCCTCCAGAGGGCCTCCAGAAGCCTCGGGGGGGGCTCTGGGGCCTCTGCACGGAGTCGGAATCGGATTGCATCGGCAGCGCCAGGATGCACAGCAGCGCCATTGAAGCATCGGGCCGCACTGGATCGTCCGAACATCGGAATCGAATAAGATCGAGCCAGCGGGAATCAATATCGAATCGGTCGATCGGATCGAAATTAGTCCTGCCAGGTCCCCGCCCCCCCCCCGGCGGGTCGGACCCAACTGCATGCGTTCTTTGTCCCATTGGTGCGACCATGATGATGACCGAGAAAATTTGGGGACGATGCCCAACAGCGAACGTGGTCCAGGACCAACAGCGCCCGCTGCTGCCCAGGCGACGCACGCAGGTCCCGGACGGACAGCGTTCGCAGCGACACCGATGGCAAGTCCTGCACGTAATGAACATGCACTGCCTTGTGCTCTTCGCCCCTTTCCCTTGCTCCCCCCTCTCGCCCGGGCCTCTGGGTCAGAACCTGGGCCCCCAAGCGGCCGCTCGGCACGCGGCTCGAGCACACACACCCCCGAGCGCCCTCGGCGCCGCGCAGCTCGCGGCAGGCACCCCGAGGCTGGAGAGAGAGCCTGCGTGCAGGAGCGCACGAAGAAGTGCCCCGAAGATCTCAAACCTGGAACCCGAAAATCCGGGGCTGGGCCTTCGCCCCCTTCCCTGCCCGTGTGCGTGTGCGTGCGTGTAGCTCGTCCCCCGACTCTCTTCGTCCATGCCCGAGTTGCCCCCTCCGTTCCCACGATCTCCGTTTCCGCCTCGGCCTTCCGGGCCCGAGATCCCCCGCCAGCCCAACCGCAAGCGCGTCGGCTTCGAGACGTGCGCCTGGCTCTCTGCCCCAGGAGATCCCTGCCCCTGAACCCCCCTCCACACGGAGGAGGCCAACACACACACACACACACACACACACACACACACACACACACACACACACACACACACACACACACACACACACACTTTTTTCGTCGGCGGCGAGGCAGAGGCAGTCCGCTCCAGCGTGTGGCTATTCGGGGCAACCGAAAGGCTAATCGGCCGGCGTGCAAGAGGGGGGAAGAAGACGAGAGCGGCCGCGCGGTGGGAGGGGGAGGGGAAAGCGCTCAGACGTGGAAGAGTTCTGCGTCAAGCGGGCTGGAGCGGCCGACCGAGGCAGCGGTGACCGAGGCGAGGGCGCACCAACGGGCGCTGCAAGGGCGCACACACACACACACACACACAGGGTTGCGAGCGGGCCGCCCCGTCCAAGCCGTTCCATCGTTCCTCCTCCTACTCCGCCCTTTCCTCCTCCTCCTCCTCCTCCTCCTCCTCCTCCTCCTCCTCCTCCTCCTCCGCCTCCTCCTCTACACGCTGAGACAGCAAACCTGCCAAACAATACTGTTCTCGACTTCCTGCCTCCCTCCTCTCTCCCTCCTCCCTCCTGGCCCCCCCCCCCCACCCCCAGCACCACCTCTCGGTGGCGGACATGCGCGGTAGCGCAACGGTATCAGGACATGGACATTCTTGACCAAGCACGACTTGAGCCAAGATGGCTTGCAAAGGCTCTCCTGGAAGCAAAGCATTTACAGCGGATCGAAAGGCACAGCGGACGGAAGACGCCTCGGGCGAGTCAAGATGTCCATGGTGCGCAGGGCAGGCAATCGTGAAAGACCGGGACGAGGCAAAAAAGAGATGAGCGGCATGGAGACAGGGGCTGGGCCAGTTGAGCGAGGGACGAAGGAGCAGGCCCCAGAAGTCAACAGCGGCGGGCCGCAGCCGAGGTGCGCGCCCACCGCAGCGTATGGACCTCCCACCCAGGGAGGACAGGCGCGCGTCCTTTCCTCCGCGCGGCGGTTCAAGAGGGATGGGGCCTTCAGGACGAGTGCCCTCGAACAGTGAGGGTCTGGCTTGGGATCCCTTCCCTGTCCCTGGGGCCCCATCCCTCGAGGCCTCGTCCTCCTCCTCCTCCTCCTCCTCCTCCTCCTCCTCCTCCTCCTCCTCCTCCTCCTCCTCCTTTTTTCCTCCTCCTCCTCCTCCTCCTCCTCCTCCGCTGATCCGCCGACCCGCAGACCCGCACACCCGCAGCAGCCAGGAGCCGCGGCCGAGGCAAGCCCACGCGCCCAGGCGGAGGGGGTGACGGGGGGCGCGACAGCGCGGGGTCCACTCTGGAGGGAACAGCTGCCAGGAGGACTGGCGGCGCGCGCTTGGAGGGGGAGGGGGTAGGCTATACGACGTGCAGCGCGAGAAGGAGTCGAGCCGACGTCCGCCGAGAGCGAGAGTTCGACAAGGGGCGTTCGGGAGTCGCTGTATGGGGGGGGCGATGGATTGGGAGGGAGAAGGGAAGCTGCACTTCTCGGGCCCGGAAGGCCCCATTGGGGCCTCAAAGGGCCCCATATAGGGCCCGAAAGGGCCCCAGACAGAATCGCGTCGTACAAAAGTCAGGACGGGAGGTTTTGAAGCTTTTTCGGCCCCGGGAGGCCCTCGCCGGGCCTCGGGACCGTCAAAAAACGACTCAGGACGAAAAACCGGTCTCGGGAGAAGGGTCGGGACTTCCAGGGACGCCGTCCCGAAAAAATCAGGACGTTGCATGTCTGGGTCGATGATGCGCCCCACTTCAGTGTCCCGCCTGCCCGACCCGCACCCGACCCGCCCGTTCGGGTCCGCCCGCCCGACACGACCCGCCCGTTGTGGGGTCCGCCCGCCCAACCCGACCCCACCCGTGAGGGTTCGCGCGCGCCACATCGATGATGCGTCCTACTCTCATGTCCAGCCCTCCCGACCCGACCCGCCCGTCAGGGTCGACCCGCCCGACCCGACCCGCCCGTGTAAAAGGGTCCGCCCGCCACTGCTCCCCCTCCTCCCCCCTTGGGATCCGTCGCGTGCCCGGCGAGGTGAGCCCGAGCGAAACGAGCCCTGGCGAAACGAGCCTCCAGCGAACCGGGGCCCCGGCGAAACCGAGCCTCGGGCGAAACGAGCCCCGGCAGAGCGGGACCCCGCGGCGAAGCGAGACCCCAGCGGAACGAGGCTCCAGCGAGACGAGGCCCCAGCGGAACGAGGCTCCAGCGAGCCAGAAGCCAGGGCTCCAGCGAGCCAGAAGCCAGGGCGCGGACCGAGCCTCGGCGAGGCGAGCCGGGGCGCCTCGAGCCCGGGCGAGCCGAGGCCCGGCGCAGCGAGCCCCCCCGAGCCACGGCGAGCCCAGCCGCCCCAGCGAACCGGGCCCCGGCGAGCCGAGGTTCCGGCGAAGCCCTGGCGATGCCTCGCTCTCCTGGGGCTCTGCCGTGTTCCTGCTCGTTCGCGTGTGTCACGTGCGCGGAGCTGCACTGTCGATGCCGCGCTTGCCTGCGGCTTTGCTGCGTGCCTGCGCGCGACGCCCACCGCCAGAGGCGGCGGAGAGCTTGAGAGACCCACCTGCCAGAAACTCCAGCGCGAAACCCTGAGCTCCTGGCGGCGCCACTTTTTCGAGCCCCACGTCTTCGCCCCCTCTCGGGCCCCGGGGGCCCTCGCAGGTCGATCCGGCTCGAGGGAGCAGCTGCCGGGAGGACTGGCGGCGCGCGCTTGGAGGGGGAGGGGGCAGGCTATACGACGCACAGCGCGAGAAGGAGTCAAGCCGACGTCCGCCGAGAGCGAAGAGTTCGACAAGGGGCGTTCGGGAGTCGCTGCATGGGGGGGCAATCCGGCTCGAAACATGGCGCAGAAAGATCGGGTCCGGGGGTCTGGTCGTGCTCTTCTGCGGCGGCGCAAGTGTTGCTTGCAGCGTCGGCTCTCAGGGAGCCAGCCTGCGGCGATGAGACCACATTGATGGCACCGCCAACCCAGGCCCCCTCGCGTTGGTTTTGTTTACTATTATTATTCGTGTTTTCATTATTATTACACTTCTTCTTATCAGTATTATTATTGATATTAATATTAGTATGATTACGATTAGTGTTATTATTAGTATTACTATTAGTATTACTATTAATACTAATAGTATTAGTATTATTATCATCATTATTTTTATTATTAATATTATTATTATTATTAGTATTATTATTAGTAGTAGTAGTAGTAGTAGTAGCAGCAGCAGCAGTAGTAGTAGTAGTAGTAGTAGTAGTAGTATGAATATTGCTATCCTTATCAATATTAGTAAAATTACTAATACTATGATGATAATAATAATAATGATGATGATGATGATGATGATGATGATAATGATGATGATGATTAGCATTATTATTACCATTCGTATTATTCTTCTTTGTCATATTAGTATTATTCTTTTTCCTATGATTAATGTTATTAATATTATTGTTCTCATTCGTGGTCTTCCTCTTCTTATTATTAATATTATGTTTCGTATTATTATTATTAGTAATACTACTACTACTACTACTACTACTACTACTACTACTACTACTACTACTACTATTACTACTACTACTACTACTACTACTACTACTACTACTACTACTACTACTACTACTACTACTACTACTATTGTTATTCTTCTCATTGTTATCCTTATTATCCTTCTCTGAATACTCTTCTTGTTTTTGTTTTGGGGGGGTGGTTTTTCGCCATGTCTTCGGCCTTCGGGGGCCCCCTGCCGGACCCCATGGGAGCGTCAAGAAGTCGGCCCAGGAGGCAAAAAACTGGTCTCGGAGAAGGGGTGCAGACCTCCCCTGAGATCCGACGCTCCAAAAAAATTGGAGCAGGCGGTTTTTGGCCGTTTTCGGCCGCTGGGTGCCCTCACCGGGCCTCGGGAGCGTCAAAAATCGACTCAGGACGAGAAACCCGTCCCGGGGAAGTGGTCCGGGCCTCCTGGGTCCACGCACCAAAAAAAAATGGAGCAGCTGGATGCCTGGGTCTGGGGCCGACGCTGTGAAAAAATCACGCCGTCGGGGGCCTGGGTAGACTGCACTGCAACGAGTACAGGAAATCCCTGCTTGGGGTCCACGCTGGCCAACATTGACGCTGACACTGTCTACGAAGGACCCCCCCCTTTCCCAGCCGCCAGGACAGCGGGAAACCACCAGGAGAGGAAGAGGGCAGCGATGACAGAGTCGGTCAGCATCAAACCCAGAGATCCGATGTCGTGATTTTCCGATACGTGGTCCCCGGCAATCTCGACCCATTCCCCAGGACCGGCTTTCCATCCTGAGCCGTTTTTTGACGGTCTCGAGGGCCGCTGAGGGCCTCCAGAGGCCGAAAATAGGGAAAAACCTCCCGTCATGATTTTCTTATTACCCGAGGGGGTCTGGGAATCGGGAGGTCGGATCGGGTCGGAACGTGCGTCGGGTCGCCCTGCATCGGCACGGAGTCCGAATCGGATCGGACCGGCCGCGCCAGGCTGCACGAGCAGCGCTGCGCAAAAATCGTCGGGCCGCACTGGCGCGTCGGAACACCGGAACCAAATCGGCCCAGGCCGGCCAGACCCGACATCAAATCCGATCGAGCGGATCGAAGTGCCCAGAGATCCGACGCTCCAAAAAAATTTGAGCAGGCGGTTTTGGGTGTGTTTTCGGCCTCTGGGGGCCCTCGCCAGGCCTAGGGAGAGTAAATAAAAACGCAGGGCGAAAAACCGGCCCTGGGGAAGTGGTCGGGACCTCGGGGGCCCACGCATCGAATAAATTCGAGCAGCCAGATGTCGAGGACCCGACCTAGATGGGCGGCATCCTCCTTTTTGTAAACACGTGGTCCCCAGAAGTCCCGACCCTGTCCACGGGACCAGCTTCTCCTCCCGAGTCGTTTGTTCAGTCCCGAGGAGGAGGAGGAGGAGGAGGAGGAGGAGGAGGATGAGGAGGAGGAGGAGGAGGAGGAGGAGGAGGGGAGGAGGAGGAGGAGGAGGAGGAGGAGAAGGAGGAGGAGGAGGAGGAGGAGGAGGCGGGAGGAGGAGGAGGAGGAGGAGGAGGAGCCCGAGAACGGCAAGGACCTGCCGCCCGGAGCTCTTCTCGCAACGCGGCCTCGTGCCCGGGGCGGGCCGCGGCGGCGGCGCCCCGCCTTGATCTGCAGGCCCTCCAGCTGCACGCAGCCCCTGAAGATGCCAAGCCTCCGCAGGCCCGACGAAGAGCGCGCGCGGAGAGCGCGGCTCTCGTGAGCTGTGCGCGGGCCCCGCCCGCGCTTCCAGGGGCCCCGGGCCGGCCCGGGCCGCGGCCGGGTGACATCCGAGCATGTCGCCCGGGGACGCCCACGAGACCCAGGCCCCCTCGAGTCGGGACAAGATCACGACGGGAGGTGCTTCGCGATGTTTGTAAAGGGGCCCTGGGACACACAAATAAATACACACAAATAAAAGGATCCCCCATATTTTTCCATATTTGGGGGATTTCCGTCTTCCCCCCCACTTCCCATATTTCCGCATATTTTCCTGGGGATCGACGATTAATTGTGTCTGTGTGTTTTTTCCCCTCCTGAGTTTGGCCTCCTTTTTTTCGGGGAGGGGGGGGGGGGGGGGGGGCCTCGGGGGGTCCTGACCAGCCCTCGGGGCCATCCAAGAAGCGGCTCGGGAGGAAGAACCAGTCCAGGGGAAGGGGGCGAGACCTCTGAGGGTCGACGTCATGAAAAAATCCTGGCGCTGG